AATAAACCATACTCAGTTAATGACTGTTAGTTTGTTAAAGACTATGTAGGCTTAGTTTGTATGGAATAAGAAACCCCTGAAAATTCTGGTAAGAAAAAAATAACTGTAGGGAATCAATTAATAAAAATAATTAATGAAATTAACGTTTATTTTGAGATTTGTAACTTTTTTTTTTAAAGACTTTTCTCAGGTTTTGCTGTTCAGAATTTTCTTTGTACTTGTAAGGAGAATAGTGCTTAGATTATCCTCAGTTTTAACACAAGGCAAAAACATGACAGAGATTTGTCTTTTGGTGATAAAACTAGTGAAAATAGAACTCTTATGATAACCCTGTCTTTGAAAAACATCAGAAAAAGCCCCTGAGCTCCACGAACATGTTGCAGACTGCACATGTCACATAACTAAGGACTACAATTTTTTGCCTGAGGCTCCCACATTTAACAAAGGGAAACACTGCTTTCAACAAAAGATGCTATTCTAGTTATGTGCCCTTTTACCCTGTCAGAGAAACAGCTGGTATCATGAAGTCACAGCTAATTTGTATCATGTCTGCACTAACAGTCAGATTCAGTTTGTATCAAACTTTCAGAGTTGGACTTAATACTGGTTGATGGATGACAGCTTTTCTTGCCTCCCCCCTTCTCAAAACATATTTAAACATTGCCTCCCACATAAAAACCCCCAATATTCAAAATATAAATGGAATCTTTAACATATTTCACATGACCAGAATGAGAATGTTTAAAATTAGTAAATTAAAAAATAAAACCCTACAGAAGGGTGAGAAAAATACACCAGGAAGTTCTGAAGTTCTCTGACAAATAAGTAGTGCTTTAAGACAGACATCTGGGTACCAAGTATAATGGAAAAGAATTTTCTCTTAAAAAAAAAAAAAAAACCAACAAAGACAACCCACAACTTACTTGCCTCAGGTAATCTCTTGCAGTTTGGGGTATCTGTTCTCCTAAAGATTTCAGTCTGTCTGCAGAGACTTTAAGGGCTTTTTCAAGGTCAGCACTCAATTTAGGGAAGGCAAATTTCACTTTTTTTTTTTTTTTTTTAAGGGACCTGTTTCTCATTTATGCTATTAAATGTCATCTACTCTTATTTTAAGATCCCCAAAGCAGAATGCCTGAACTGTGTAAAGGGACTTTAGCAAAAGTGAGAGTCGGGCTAAAGACTTAACAGCTCCAGACCAGCAACGCTCATGTGAGAAAAAGCTGCAAAGATCAAGCTCTTCTTGGAAAACAGGCATGGGGAAAGTTCCAGAGATTGGGAGTTCAAGCTCAGTTCAGATAAACATCTGAGAGTGCTAGTGCACTTCTGAGTCTGTCCTCCACAGCACCTGAGCCTACAGCTTTAGCTGGAGACAAGATATTCTTTTGAGATTTCAGCTACTTCCCACTTTCAGACCGTCTAGAAGTTTTTGACCAAGGCTCTATCATCCCATGATCTGAAAGCATCACCGTAGGCAAGGAAATATCTCACAACACCCTGAGAAGTAAGGATTACTTTTTTTAATACTGCACAGTATAATGATTATCAGGGTTCTGATAATTGGTTATCAGAAAGATCAGTCTGCTGCATAAACGTACGCACACCAAGTGAACGAGGTCCTCAGGAAGTTCAAAGCAACAGTATCAGTGATGCAGTTTTAAAGTGACAGGAGAGCTTACTGTGACGGAGCTGAGAAAGAGCAGTTGTCAATGGGGACTGAAGAATCCCAGCTCCCAGCCTATCTTTCCCTCAGCGCACGCATCTCCTGCCTTAGAAGGTTAATGTTGCGCAGAAGACAGTAAGATACAGCTTCTGCTGTGCCTAAGCTGTGCTTGGCACTGCTCTCTGATGGACTCCTTGCCAGCGAACAGAGCCAAAGCACAGCATGCTCCTGCCACATCCTCTGCAGCGAGCTGTATCTGCTCTCTACCTACTGGGAAGATGCAGATAATCAACTCCACTCCCTTCACTCCGAGCACAGCAGTGACTCTGCCCCTACATATGATCCTTGTGCAGATTTTTTTTTTTCCCCAGATGTTCTTCAACCTCTGTCTGGCCAGGCATGGTTTATTAAAAGCAGATTTCTCTTCAACTACTCAGGGTGTCAGTTTTACAATTCCTAGGTGGTATAATTCCTGGAAAATAAAAAATGTTCTTCCTCCAAAATTTTGGATGAGTCACAGCAGGTTTACTTGTTTTGGTACACCCTTATATGAAGCGTAGCTTTCTATATCTAAATGATGCTCTGGTTTTCCTTGTTCCAGCTGCCTGTTAGCTCCAAATTTCTTACAAGAAATAAGACTTTTCTAGCAAATGATGCCCACCAATTGGGCTCGGCAGCCAAAGACAGCCATCACGTTTCCACGGGACTGAGAATTGTATCAGGAAGAACACCACTACTACTTCCCAAGCATGATCCCCTGGCATTCAACTAAACAAAAAACTCCAAACCGTTGTCTTCAGCACCTCTTTGGGAATGCAACACAACACAAAAACCACCAGGTTCTCATCTCTCACAAAAGAACTTTCACCAAAAAGCACCCCAGCTGCATGTAGACCTGAAGTCCCAGGGAGACCTGGGCAAGACGGAGTGCTGCAGCTCCTCTTCCAAGCAGCAGTGAGGACAGAAGAGAAGAAAGACTCTAAGTTCATCTCAGTTTAATTCATTGCAACAAAGCCATAGAAAAATGTCTTCAGAAATGTTAGAGAAATGCTTTCAGTCTTGAATATTTAAGAGAAAACCTGACCAAAACTTTCCTTGCACAATGCTTCTGAATGGCAAGCATCTTGACTTTTAACAAAATGTACATTTCCAAGGAAGATAAAAAAAACAATCATCAGTGACTTTGAACCTTAACCTTATAGGGTACCACTTATTTTTGAAAGTAACTTGTATAAGCATGTCTCAGACTGTCTTCCAAAGCCAGGTTTGGCTGTATTCAAGAACTAACAGAAGAGTAACAGGACTATCATGATAACACTAAACTGTATTACTGCTTTTTATACACAGGTAAAGAGATGTGCCTTGTTTCCAGCACTTCATGGAAATAATGCTTATTCTTTCCTTTCCAAATGAGTGTATTGGTCCACATCACTTGCTTCAATGATTTTCTAAAGAAAACTAATGGCCTTTTTCATGGTATTTTCATTCAGGTCCCCTAAAGACCATCCTCCTAGTCAGCCAGCTTTGCAATGTAAAAAAAGGACGTTAAGTGTGGAAAGTATTACCAGATTTTGCCTTTCCTTCTTCATGACAGAATTCTTCCACCACTCTGACAAGTGCTTTCCAAGCACCAGGGGGATTTCAGCGTGAGACAGATGACACTCACTCTGCATCCTACACTTGGAGTAGATGAATGAATCCCTGAAGGTCAGATTTTCAGATGCAGTTTATGGATCAAAATAAGGCACCGGCTCTGAAATACACTGAACCACAGTCTCAGCTGTGGGACTGAAGTGCCTTCTTTCAACACCACAGCCTGCATGCTCAGGCATGTCTACAAAAACAACTCTGGTTGCTGAGCTGTCAGAAAACTCTGGAGGGCAGTCACTGCTCTATTTGGTTATCCTGCTCTAAGCACAGGGGGAGAACATTTCTGATCCCATTTGATTTTGGACTGTATGGCCTCCCTCTCCTTGGGTGAAATTTTTAAGGAATTTAGGTACCTCAAAAATTATCCACCCAATGGTTAATGGGAACTTAAATTCAGTGATCTCGCTGGAAGAACTGTTTCATGGGAAATTTTAGAACAGTTTTGCTGGTTCTGAATCAGATAGAAATCCTAATTTTGGAATATCAGCATTTCCTACAAATTCGAAATCCCAGATGGTGTGCTTCTTCAGTCTTAAATACTCCCCATACAAAGGCTTGAAACTAACGCCGAGCTCTAAAACAGCAACCAGGGCAGAGAACAGCCTGCAACGACTGTCAGCCCGTTCAGCACTCGCACAAACCTCCTCAGAGGTGCAGGCAAAGTTAAACTCACTTCCCCAAGGACGGTGACAAAAATAGCTAAAACTGGCCCAGACACCACATTCCTGACAGGGAGGAAGGCTGCCGGAGACGAAAGACAATGCATCCAGTGCTCAGCCTAATGCCATGTCTCTCTCCTCCTCCACACTGCTCCTGCCAAGAAGAGGAGGAATGGAGCAGAGGTACAGAGGAGGTCCAGGCACACAGAGAACATGGTCACTCATCAGTGAGAATAAGCAGCTCGCTGTATCCCGAGTTAAGATGATGGTATCTAAGGGAGTTGCCTTAACCCTAGTGCAGTATTTCTGACCCCATCAGCCTCCTGTCATAAGGTGCTGCTTAAACTTAGAGCCAGTCCTTAGTTTGTCTCCAGCCTGCAATTTCCGTATATTGAGGGGCTGAAGTTTACAAATATTATAAACACTTCCTTCAAATGGTTTGTGAGCCCTCACTTGTTCTGTCAGAGAAAGAACAATGTTTGTAAAAATTATCTAAGTCTTACGTGCTGTAAAGAGTGAGTAAACATGGTTACTTGGACTCCCACAAGCTCCTCAGAGCCTGCTTGCTCTAAAAGAACAGAAGATACAGCAGGACAGTAACACACCAGCACATCATCTGAACACAAGTAAATATAATTTAAAACTCCCATTGCAAACAAAAAACTTGCTGAAATCCAGTGGAGAAATAAATATAGCTATTAAAAGAATGGTCATACACCACAAAAATTATTATTGTAAAATTCAAAGATTCTGATTTGAAGATAAAATTCAAGATAAAATCCTTTAAATCTGCTATCAGTTTGGAAGAAAGTAATGTCTGGTGTTCCCAGAGGAATAGGAGTCAAAGTTCTGACTGCAGGGATGTCCACCGATTTTTAAAGGGATTTGAATCAGCCCCCAAAAGAAGCCAGGAAATACAGAGGAAAGAAAAAATCCAATATAAAAGCCTCAGTACAGAAAACCCAACAGAGAAAAACCTTCTGAATACCACAGGAAAGGAAACCTGAGGTAACTACTTTGATCATACTCACAGGAAGGCAATCAGAGGAAATATGCTGAGCTTTTCAGTAACAAACGAGCTGCTGATGAATTCAAAATGATGAGTCCACAAAATAGAGGTGATCACTGTGTAGAAATAGAAAATAAAGAACATTTCAGCAAAAAAAGAATGAAGAGTGTGTGATAATTATGCCATTGATAAGCAATGTTCTTTAATGACACCCCTACACAGGTTTTTTAAAGTATGGGGTAAACCAGAAAAATTTTGCAGGATACCGACAAAACCTACTATCAACAGTTCTAGAAATTAGAGTTTGACAAAGCAGGCTTTGATTTCCCCAAATCTCCCAAAGTCATTCACAAAAACCTCTTGAAGAAATTCGGCTGATACAGGCTAAGCTGAACATTCTCTTGTGAATAGCAAGAGATGAAGCGAAGCAAAGCAAAGCATCAGACCAGCAGTGAGTTTTCATAACAGAGCAAGGTTTCCAGTGTACTTCCCTAAGGATCTACACTGAAGCCTGTAGTATTCAACATATTCATACAAGCAATCTGCAAAAGCAGATAAACAATGAGAAGACAAATACTGTAGAAGATATAAAACTATTCATTGTAATAAAATCTAAAGTCAATGCAATGAACTATGGAAAAAGTTCATAGTAATGAATTTCTATGGGCAGACTGAGTTCAGGTTCACACACATAGATATATGGCATATCTACATTTTCAGTTTTGTGTGAAGTTCTGATTACCCTTTCTTAAGAAAAGGCCCAAGAAGGGACACCAAGAATGATCAGAGCTATGACACAGTTCCCATCTAGAAGAGTACAACTCTTCCATTTGAAAAAGAGAGACTATTGAGGCAGGATACAAGAAAGGACCTGAATGTTTTTTAAAGTATAAATGTTGTTTATTGTTGTACAAGAATTATGATTCAATAAGGAATAAAACAAAAATCATGGAAGATAGTTTCATCAGCTATGATATATGGTAGTCTGGATGTGACCTCTAGCTTAGCAAGTCCCAACGCAGATATTGCCAGACTCTAGGAGAGCACATAAAAGGAAGAGGCATTCCACACTCATCTGCATTCTCTTGCTTTACTGTGACTGTCTCAGTGTCTCAGAGACAGGGTACTAACCGAGATGGACCCCTTGCTCTTACCCGGCATGACAGCAATTCTACAAATGTCAGTCCAGAGAGCAGATCAAATGAGCTGCCATCCTGGTGCAAAGACAGCACAAAAATTAGTGGGCTATCTAGAAGAAACTCATAATGGATACCAGGAAATATAGTAAGAACGAGCTTCATTAAACAGGGTATTTTTTCCCCCTGAAGACTCACTCTGCATTCAGTTACCACTTGGTGGTATACAGACCCACTGAAGTCAAAACAAAACCTGTTTTCTTCAGAAAGCCTCACATGGTCCGTTCTCTTTAGACCCAAGGATCTTCATACAAAACATCCTGGTGCCAACAGAGGAAATACATTATTTACAAATCACTGAAACCTGATTTCAGTAGTTTAAGATCATAGTGTGGGTCCATTACTTGTATTAATTTCTAGTTATTCACTGGAAACTCGCAGGCTTTAAAGAACTCCTGATGTAAGTGATTATTCAGCTATTTCAAAAACAATTTTACAGGCTGGTCCAGGTTTTATAGGCACCTGTCAATGATTTATTGAAAAATTTGGGGTGGCCAATGCCAAGATTTTGATTGATTTCATTAGAAGTTTCAGTATTAGATTCAAAAGAGATCTCAATCCCCTTTTGATGCTTAGTGTTACTATGCATATCTCACACAGAAGAGAGCCATGCAGGAGGACATCCCTAATCATCAAGGTCTGAAAACAGCAACCAAGAGCTTCAGGTCATCTTCCTCTCAATGGTTACTCCCGCTTACAGCAAGAGGAGATTGGGCTCTGTCAGTCAACAGAGCTCCAACTCATGAATAATATGAAAGTCCTTCCAGGTCACTGAATTCATTCAAACTGTTTCACTAACCTGAGAAGCTGACTTTGCCCTTTTCTACTGTTTAGTGTGCCCCACTTAATTCTCAGCAGGCATGACTTCATGACATTCAGATCATGCATTAGGAGGATCCTGGGTTTTAAAGGGTTTTTTTCTGCCTCAGACCTTTTGCTCTCTTTCAATCTCAAGATTATTTTTTTTAATGGCAACAACCCCTAAAAGATTTTCCTTTTCTTTCTCACAGTCAAAGCCCTTTTCTGCTATTCTCCCTGTATTTGTTCTGCCCTAAAGCAACATTTTTTCTGCATCGAGCTCAACATAATTTGTAATATCAATAAAATGACTGAAATACACTCTCTCCCTGTTTGCTATTCAAAAGAACTTCTATCACACCACAATTCCATTGTGAGCTGACTTTGAAGGGCTAAGAACAATTTGTTAAATTTCCATACAACAGGAAATTTCTATGCAACTTAAGCATGAAGGAAGTTCAGGTCCAGGTCGAAAACCAGACTTCATAAATCTAAACACTCCAACCCAAGAAACATCACTAGGGTTTGGACACATTGTGGGCTGTAATCTTCAGTGGTAAAATTGGCACAATTTTTACCATTTCTTCAGTCTTTTGAATTCCAGTGACCATAAACACTGGCTTTGTGTTCTGCTGTCATTGAGGCAACAGCCCTAACAGCACTGCAGACCTAGGCACACACCCATTACTGCACATCCAAGCACACAGTGGAACTTAATTCCCAGCTAGCATAGGTACTAGATTCTCAGCTAACCTAGGTCAGTATCCATTAAATGCAATTTTAATAATAGGGATGCTTTTATCAGAAGTACTTTTTTACTTAAGAAATCAGGAAGTTGTTACTACCTTGATTACAGAAACTAGGGAAACCAAAACAGATCCAAGATCATTCAGAAGTTGACCTGTGACATTTAAATGTGGTTTTTTGATTAAAAGTATATGCAGGTGCACACACAAAAAACATGGTTTCATTCCCTTCTACTCTGTTAACGAATTTGGTTCCATTATACCAGGTAGCTTTGAATGGAAATAAAGTCATGCAGCCCAGTTACCAAAACCATGTACTGCTCCATTTATCCAATAGCTCAACAGCTAGGGCGTGACAGGGTTCAGATCTCATCTCTTCTTGCAGGGATTTTCACCTACATCTTCCAAAGGACTCTACACTATAATGTTCTTTCACACCCTTTCCTACCAGTGGTGATGCTACAAGTATAAAGGGGAAACATAACACACTAGACTAAAGGTCCGACTCCTCTAGATCCTGTCTCCAGCAGCAGCCAATATCAGATGTTTAGGGTAGAGCATAAGAACAGGGAAAGCATATAATGACGCTTCCCACAACTACTCTACAACAGCTTGCGACTTCCAGAATGCTTAAGTCAGAGGTGGAATCTGTGTATTTACTGATCTCCATGGCAGCTTTTTTCCATTATTATTTCCAGTAGCTGCCAACACTCAGCAAAATCCCATAACAGAGAGTCCCACAACTTAATTATGTGCTATGTGAAGATATAGTCCACTTTGGCCAAGTAATTAGACCTTTAGACTGACACTAGGACTCAGCTAAGCCACTTCCCAGCTGAAGGCTCGCTCACCTAATGCACAGTTAAGTGTGGTATGCACACAGGAAACATTCCTCATTGCATCACACATAATGGAGCAATCCCAAATTATCCAACAGCTAGGTGGTTAAGAAGCTGTTTTGGAAATAGCACACATGGGTTTCAGTCCCAATTACGTATTTAATCATCTAGGAAAGTGAAATAACATCAGTAGGAGAGAGTGGGAGCACCATAAAGAAGAGTTGGAAAGTGCACTTTACAGATCCTTTGGACAAAGGAGGTAACCCAGTCCACCTACTGGGTTCTGAGTTAGTAATCTATTAGATAAAAGAGGGATTCCTCCTCCAATCTTCAAAAATAGCAAATCATTTCACAGATTCATAGAACAATTCAAGTTGGAAGGCACCTCTGGAGTTCCTCTTGGTCTAATTCCCTGCTCAAATCAGGCTGTCCAGGATCATGTCCAGCTGGGATTTGAATGGAGGATTGAGATTCCACAGCCACCCTGTGGAATCTGTTCCAGTGCTGATCACTTACAGTAATATATTTTTTCTCTACATTTAAATGAAGTTTACTGTATTTCAATTTATGGCCCTTTCCTCATGTCCATTCACTGGATACAACTGAGAAGACTCTGGTTCCCTCTTTTTTGTTGTTATCCCTCCCTCCTCCCATAGCCACGGATTCACAGTGTGTACAGCCATAGAGTGGCTGTTAAACTTGAATCTCATTCCAGTTACAGCTAGGAATTTTTACCCATAGATTTTAGTCTTAGCTCTTGTGCAAATAATTTTTTTCCCCTTCAAGTCATGAAAATGAGAGCAGGAAACCACCTTTTTAAAAACTGGTCCAGGTGACGTATTTCTTTGTTTACTCATTTCTTCCAGATCTCCTTTTCTCCTTTAATGTTGTCAGGGTTGCCATGTAGTTTATTTACTTATGAAGACATTAACAGAGGGACCACTTAAAAACTTTTCAACTTTTCCTCAGAAGTGCTGTGCACAAGGTTTTTCATTACAGTGTTTGGTAAACAAGTGTTGCCAACAGAAGAGGGGAACAGGAAGCCTTGAACTCATCCATTATTATCTAAACAGGTATCCAAGGAATTTTTTTTTTCTAGGATGATCTAAAAAGGGACGTGTTGTCTCCTGTGAACTGCTTGCCTAACCACTTACAAGCAGCGTATCAGAATAAAACACCAACATTCAAAGTAAATAAAAACACTTCTCATTCAGCAATACACTTAAGTTAGACCTTAATTTAAAAGCCATAGTCAAAACCCATTGACTTCAGGCTAAGCACACATTTACGTGCTCTGCTGAACATGGACATTTTGCTGTACGTAAGGGATGCAGCCATCCCCTAGTTATCAATTTTTTTGTCAGTGTTAGGAGTGCAGTAGCATCACTAAGTCCCAGCTTTCTGGGTGCTATACAAACAGGAGGACAAAATGATAGTTCTTAGTCCCAAAGAGCTTATTTTCCAGGTAATATGTATGAAGCTACATATTAGAAATTACTGATGTGATAGCTACTCTCAATGAACTTAATATAACATTAT